ATATAAATATATATTAATTATAAATTCCTTCTTTTCAATTGTCTTCTTATCCCAACTTTCTGAGAAGTCCATCCAAGTCGTGTTTTTAGTAAATAGTACGATATATTGTTGCTCTGATTCCATCCTATTGACGTTTACCGTTCTCTATTTCTGTTTAGCTAAACAGCTATACGGAAACACTTCTTGAAGTCGAGCGCATTACTTTGTTAGGCGACAATAACTTACAGTGAACAATAACGTTTCAATACCAAATGCAGAGATTTTTTTCTTGCAGGCATGACATTAGACCTTTTCCGCTTGTAACGTATAATCATTTTCAGGCGGTATTGCCAGCCCATTGGCAGCTCACTTTATCCATTTCAAAGCGGACCCACTTTAATCGCGCTTGAGCAGCAAAATTCGTTTTCTTCAGCTTCTGCTACAAACAAATATCTCCTTTCTTAACCACTTCAAGACTCCGAAGAAGTCAGATGAATTAATATTTGTGGCTAATGATCGATTTATATAAGCTCTTAATGCCGATTGTCGTAGGTAAAGAGTCAGATTTAATCAGAGTAAGTAGAGTGTAAAAAGTGAGTATAGGGGGAAAGAGGTAGAAATAAGAAAAAAAAGCGAAGAGAAACAATGATTTATATACTTTACCAATAACGGTCAAAACACAGTTTCTTTTACGATGACACTTCAATATGGATTAATCAGCATTCAAGTTGAGGTTATGTTCGATCTGTGCACACGTCCAACACTAATCGCGGTCGGCAAAAGTCTTGCGCTGACGATTGATCCACCACAGCAAGAACCAATATGTGTTGAAATTAGTACACGATGCCAGTCACGTTCTTTCAGGAGCATATGAAGAAGAAAGCAATGAATTTTTGATCTTTGGAGAAGTCACAGATGGACGCACTTTTAAAATTTCGGCAAAGATTGATAATTTTTATGTAGAATGGAAAACAGAGAAACACTGATTGACAAGATATATCTTAAGTGTATGTATGTATGAATTGTACATTAATTCAATAATAATTAGAAAACGTTTTCACAAAAATGTCCTTGAGTCCTTGAGTCCTTGAGTTTTTTTTTTTATCAAATTAATTGATTCGTTTTTATTCTCATTTTCCTATAGTTTACGACAATACCGTTGCAAGGGATGTGGATGATTGTTAAGGTTCAGTCCATGCTTGCCAGAACAGTCCATGCTTTTACTGTGACTTAACAAATGTAAGGGGACATCAACCCTTTGATATGTTTTCTATTCGGGTAGTATTCATGAGGTATATAGTTTTTCCTTTTTCTGTTCATTTTCCATAGCATGCAATCAACATAAAATTTATCACTGACTTATTCGGTCTTTATCTAGTGAACTTTGAACTTTTTCATCGACCACATCCCGCGAAGCTATGTTCGAGCGTTCATTGTCTTCAAAATTAGGATCTTTTCCACGAAACCTTGCCGACTGGAATTGGAACCTAATTAGAAGCTGTAGAGGAATACATGAGATCTAGTACGGTAGTAATAAATACTCGGATAATATAACTAAATGTCAGTAACTGGTTCTTGCTAAATACGACTTAAGGCTATCGTAAGTTGTTTAATTCCTGCGATCCGTACCTTTGCCATTATAGAATTGAATAAATCGGGAAGCATATATAGGAGAAGTGTGTTCGCATTGCGTCCGTGTGTACTTTTCATTTTACTCCAGCTGACAAGCATTCAATAGAGCTGGCAAATCGATGGCCATCTGTTCGCATTTTTATCCTTAAGGTAAGATAATGAACAGTGCTGCTGTCTTTTTCCTGAACTATCTTACTTATGTTCAGGTGTATTGTATGCCGAAAAGTTGCCTATATTTATAATAACTTGAAAACATGGTTCATTGTTGTTTTGCTTAATAAACAAACAATGGCCTCTGTTTGCGTTTTGTGGTTTCCCATTGTTCTATGCAAACGCCGTTATAACGTTTCTTCTTAGTGGGGGAAGGAAAATAAACAGCAAATCATCCAAACTCAGAGACAGAGAGAGAACACAGGCAGTGCTTACTACAAGATTCGCTTGTTTTGCTAACGTTTTTAATGTTTTGGAAGAAAATTCTTTTCATTCCGCCGTGCATGGGACACTTTTCTTCTCAACGCCTGTAAAAGTTACGATTCGATAAAACGGCAGAACATATCTTAGCATTCCGAGTAGCGCAGGCAATACCACTACAAATTCAGCGACCCTAGCAGCAAGCAGTAAAAATATATAAGATACGTAAGAAGGGTCTGCCATTATTTTTTATTATAAAATTTAAACTTTTTTTTTTCTTTTTCTTGCAAATGAAAATTGAAAGAAAATTAGACAAAGATTGATGTATGAGCAAAGGAAAACATTTTACCGCGAACTAACTTAATGGTAAAGTAACAAGAATTGTGAAGCTTCTCTTCCTAAATATCACATATTCGATCAATTCGTTTGACGCGGTTGATGTTGTCGTGTAACGCACGATAATTGGTAGCCGCTTCCGACTAACGATTATGTAAATACGATACTATAAACGAAACTAAGAGCAACAAGTAAAAAGTTATATTCTCGCATACCCACCACTATGTCTTTCGTATTCAACTTTCCAAGCTCTTTTTTTTTTTGATACCCATATCGCTGGTATTATTAGGAAAACATTAATCCACCAGGTCGCGGAGTCTATCGTATTCATTTTAGACTTAAACCATTTGTAGGTCGATAATATATATGTTCATTTGAGGAATGTACAAAATAATTTTAAACAATTTGCCTCGTTTGCGTTATGGTAGATAAGCATAAAACCCCCTTGTGTGGGCATGGACAATTGTCTCCACGTTTTTCGCAGGTAAAGTGTAGTGTGTTTAGCAAAGTAAATGTGGAGAAGTTCAGCCTTCTAACTTTTATAAAAACAGAGTTGCATTCAGTTTATGCTACACTGCGTGTTTCTACTCCGACCAATTTGTCCCGTTTGCAATACCAACCTGCGTGCAAAGACTTACAATCCTTCTGTCAAATTTGATGCCGATATCTTCATTTTTGCGAACAGAAGAGGGCCAACAACAACAAAACACCAAACAGACATACCGACGGACAGATATGACAGAGAAATCAATGCAGAATTTCACGCTGATCAAGAACGCATGCACTCTATAGGGTTTCTGAAGTCTCCTTCCGAGTCTTACGTACGTTATGGAAAAAAACGAGACAACTATACCTTCATGAGTATACGATAGTGGGTATAATAAACCATCGAATATATTATATGGAAGAAAAGTTGACGATTAGGGTCAGGGTGGGAATGAGGAATTATGAACGGCGCAAATACTTGCAGGGCTGGGTGATACGTGACTTTGCACATCAACGAAAGAAATTAATGCATTCTTGTTTAGACTTGACTCAGGAATCAGTACAATTAAAGGGATCGAACGAATTTCAGTTGCATTCCAAATGGAAGCACAATGTGTTACAAAGTCGCTGAATTTTATAGGATTTTGAGGTGAAACAAAACAGCGTTGGATGTCATTTTTAATTGAAATTGCTCTTCTCCTTCTTCTTCTTCATTCTTTTCCTGCTTTTTAAGGCAATTCGACAATTCGAAACCTTCAATAAGCTCGATGAGTAAATTATTTTATGTTGAACAATATACGGGACACACCCGAAAACAATGGCCTGTACATATATAGAAGCCATATAAAATTTGGCATTCAAATATTAATCCGGGAGTCAGTTACTCAGTTACGAAAGTATATAAAAATTGAGCGATTGTTTATTGGTTATTTCTTGAGATATCGGATGAACGATATATGGGACACACCCGAAAACAATGGCCTGTACATATAGAAGCCATATAAAATTTAGCATTTAAATATTAATACCTTAGTCAGTCACTCAGTTACGAAAGTATATAAAAATTGAGCGATTGTTTATTGGTTATTTCTTGCGATATATGGTTAAGAAGGGATTCTAAAACGAGTACACGAAGTTTTCTTCTATTTATGAATTTTGAATGAAATTTTCAATATTCGTTGTAAAAATTTTACAAATATTTTTATAAATTTTTCTTTTGAATAAATTTTCTTTTCTTCTTATGTTAACATATTTAGAATTGTCTTGCAAAAAAGTCAACCTCATCATCATCATCATCATCATCATCATCATCATTTTCTGATCCTGAACAATGAATGAATGTTAACTTAATAGCTATAATAAAGGGAAATTAAGTAAAAGAATATTGTGTTTGTCGAATGTTACTAAATAATAAGCATATCTTCTATTCATATGTTAACTTACTTACTATGTTAACTTTATTATAATTTACATGAAAATTTAATCATTTCATCGCCAAAGGTAAGCGGATAATGAATTATAAATGTACCAGTAAAGCGGACAAACATGTGACCCAGAGTCGATAACAGTTACAAAATTTTTCATATTAACAGAGAAAAAACGAAAGTAAATTTGTACTTGAACCAAGCAGAGGGAAATTGAAAATGAAAAAAAAAAAAGGAGAGAGATAGAGAGTGAAAAAAAAAAAAATTGAGTTTTACAGCAGATGTTAGAAATTTTCCCATTATTTTATGTTAAAGAGGCAATTTCTAATTTATTTAAGCTATTTGAAGGAAAAGGTACCCAAGATACCGTTACTTTGACACTTAACACATATTCACAGAATCAGTTGAGATCTGTTGGTGAATCAAGTCACAAGTGTGGAACGCGTCCAACGAATACCGACCGACTGAATCAAATCAAGGAGATGCAAGCAAACAAATAATGAATTGTCATAATAAAATTAATATGACAATTTAATAGCACTCATACGCCACAAGATCTATTATCAAAATAAATAATATGAAGAAATTAATTAAAAATCAATGAGAATAATATGAGTTTTTAAACGAGTTTTTATTTCTTCTTTTTTTTCTTTTCCTTACGATTTTACAAAATTTAACAAAAATATCTAATAAGAACGAGATCAAAGAAGAGAGAGAGAAAAAAATAAAAATAAAAAAAATAAAAAATAAAAAATAAGGAAAGTGAAAGTGGACCAATAAAAACAATTTCATTGAAAGTGAAAGTGGAAATATAGCCAAGTGTATGGGAGAAAAGAAGAACTTCTCAAAATCTGTTCAACTGTGGCAAATGTTTTAAGTAAAATCACTGACGTCAATGCATAGTAATGCAGCAGCACGTTGAACGAATTTAAAAAACGTAAGACTTTCAAAGGCTTTAAAATGTTTTAAAACGTTCACGTTTTAAGACGTTTAAGTAGCCTTCAAAATTTCAATAATATTTATGAGAAATTTTTTGGTTTTTTTGGAGTTTTTTTTTTTTTTTTTTTTTTTTTTTTGAGAAAACAAAAATCTATTTATTGCATAATTTGGGTTTTTAAATTTTAGCCGAAAATTGTTTAAATGTATATATGCATATGTAAAATATATTTATGTGTTTGCGTGTGTGTAAGTGCATTTGTGTGAATTTTAGTTAAAGCAAAATAAGGCTAAGGACGTTTCTGTGTGAATCAACGAATGCCAAACTAAACTAAACCAAAGCAAACAAGCAAAAAGCAATAACAATAATAGCAGCAATATAAACCGAAATTGAGTAACGAAAGTTGGATCGTTACATACGTCACTGTTTAACGTAGATACGCATGGTGGTGTTCTAAATTTCCTGCTTTTGTGGTTGTTATTATTGTTATTATTGTTATTGTTTTCAAACCGTAAAAACCTTTATGATTATGTTTGCTTACACTTTCAACCACGCACGCAGCCATACATAGTTATTCATATATATTTATATAATAAAGTATGCATACCCTGTCTACACCACGTTCCACGAGGACTAAGAAGCTATTTTATAGAACATTTTTTTCTAAAAGCATTTAAAAACAAACACAGAAACACACTTGTTAAGTGATGGCCCGGCCTTGAATTAATGTTTTTTCTTTACTTTTAAATACTCATTTATGTAAGTATTGGCGTGAATGTGTTTGTGTAAGTGTGTGTGTGCGTGTGTGTGTGTGTGTGTGTGTGTGTGTGTGTGTGTGTAAATTTTGTTCATATTTAAATTAGGTTTCTTGTCCTCTTTTCAGCTTAGTATACTTGACTTAAGATTTCAATGTGTTACTAATGAGTCTGTGCACTTAGAGAAAATTGCATTAATGTACCGAGCAGCGTTGCTGGGAATTACTGACACAATTGCAACTTTATGCTATGTATGAGCGTGTGCTTATGCGTGTGTGCGTATATATATATATTTATATATATATATATTTATGCATACAATGCATATTTATAAACCAACGACGTCATTCACATTGATTGCGTATCATTTGTTGACGATATTATTAAAAGACAAAAATAAGCGAAACGAAAAAAACAAAAAAAAAAAAAAATAAAAGACAAACGAAACGAATGTAAAGCATATCAAAGCATAAACACAAATGCAAACACAAACAAATGCATGAAGGATACGATACGTTGAGCTACATATATGTAATGCTCTCTTGCTCTCACTCTCTAAGAGTCTATGCCTCTCCGTTTGCACTGTAGCTTTACAACAGTTCAAGGTAAATTGTCTATGGAGGTCATTAAGTTCATTTGCCAGGTTGTTTGTGTTGTTTGGTAGGCACACTCATGCATATATAGAACGTCAGGAGCAGCAGCAACAGCAACGATGACAGCAACAACAACGGCAGCAATCATTTCTATCTAACTTTAGAGATATGTAAAAAAAAAAAATAAAAAATAAAAAACAAAAAAATTCATGCATTCTTTTTTTCGTTGTCATTGTTCTTATTTTTGCTGTTTTGCTGTATATCTTTTCTAGTTCTGGTTTCCTCGGTTTTTTTTTTTAATCCTTTTGTTGATATATTTTCAATTATGAAAAAAAAGTATCACTGCTTCTATTTTCCTGTTTTCAGTTGATAAAGTTTATTTCTTTCTTTCTATATATATATATGTGTATATATATATATATATGTTTATATATATAAATATATATATATAAATATATTTCCATGATGGAGTGTTTTGTTGATTTGCTCGTTAAAATACAGATACAAATATATGTGTGTGTATGTAGATGTACCTAACAGAATAGCTCGTGTTTCGTGTCCTTGTCCCAGTATTGTGTGTGTTGCGGTTTCACTATTGTTGATACCATTAAAATTTTATGTCATAATTGACACAAATACAAACACAATGAAGAAAGGAAAAAAACTTTACATATGTAAACAATAGGTGTGCGTGCTTGAGTATTTGTCTGTTTGTTTCTCTTTGCATTTCACAAGTTGTGATAAAAAAGCGTTAAATAATTTCAACTTAACTGACTTAACTAATGAGTTTAAAGCCCGCAGTTATTTGCGAGTGTGTATACATTTGTTCAGTGACCTCAAAAATTTGATTTTTATTTAGTTCTCCATGCATAGTAAAGAAACAAATTTTGCAACAAAAGTCCTGAGAAGTTCAGTGACATATAAAATTTAATGTCATGCAGTGTTAGTCAATAGTGAACGCAGGCAACAAAAAAAAAAAACAAAAACATGCCTATAAAATAAAATACGTATTAACTGTGACTTAATAACATGATATACCACCAACTGATACGAATATAGCAATATACGACAACATAATGACAGTAAGTCATTCAATTACAATAAATTTTTAAATAATCAATCGTAAAAATACTTTCTGCGCTCATTTTCACAATTATGTTAGAGTCTGTCGCACAAACACTTGATCTGAATTCAACACATTCATCTGGCTGTTTAAACTTTATTCAACTGCTTGCGCCGTTGTCTACCAATCTTTGTATCTTGTACTTTCTCGTCATTTCGTTCCGTTGTTTGTGTGCAATTATCGATTAGTCTCTTGATCTAGTTTTCCATCTGTCTAATAGCCGTGTATCTGTCACTGCATTCGCCCATTTCCTTTAAAACCAAAACCACTCATCTCTATACAGACCTACATCCCAGAACAAAACAACATCTTGTTTTAATCACCCCGGTGACCATATAAGAAGTCAACTAATTTTAAATCCCGTCAAAGTTCATCATAATAGTTCTTAGTCATGCTATCTATTGAAGCCCTTTTCTTCTGTTTGTATGTTGAATGCTTCTATGATTACATTTACTTTAAATTAAAATATGTTATGTAACAAGAAAGAAATTTATCCACAAATGCGGCCGAATCTTGTATATCCATCATCGCTATTCTAAAAATGACTAAAAAGCGGGAAACACTAAATAGTCATACGTTATGGCGTTGGGTGGGCGTGACTGATTTTTTCTATTTTTATTTAAAAAAAAAATGGAAATTTATATCGTGTGCCTGAAGCAGATATCGACAATGACGACCTATACCATAGCAATTGAGAGACAAGTGTACAGACGGACCGACAACCATGCCTAGAATACGGATCAGTTTTAATACTGATCAATAATGTGTACACTTGCGACAGTCACGGGAGCCTCGTTCTGGGTGTTGCGCACGTTTTACAAAAAAGCTGAACTTTTGATATTCTATAAGAATGAGTAGTGGTAGTAGTAGTAGTAGCAGTAGTATTAGTAGTTTTCTCAATTTTTTGACAAGTGCTGCAGGACGACCCATAGTGTATATAAGTACAAATTTTTACCGTTATCTCTGTAGTGGTTTATGAGTAGCAAGCAAGAAACCAAGTTTTTTTTTTTTTTTTTGAATTTTTGAAAACTCGTTCGATCTCAGGTTATATTGCACTTTGAGTAATTTGGTCCACTTTCGGCAATCAATCTGCGTACAAGAACTTCCAATGTTTCTATCAGATTTCAGGTCAGATAGTTTAATTTTTGCAACCAAGAGAATATTTGCCACTGGTAGACAGGCGAATAGACGGACATGCTTAAAGCAGTTTGGAATTTGAGAGCTCTCTGGGCTCTCTGAACTTCTCTACCGGGTGTTGCAAATGACTTTGTCAAAATGGATACAACCTTCATCCATCGGTCCATCGATGCGTATCACAACTTATTAATACCTCAGATACGTAGATTCAAGTTTGCTTCGTGCATGTCACAGTAAAGAATGTTCCCTCACTCAAAATAAAGTCGTGAAATTTTATATTATATTTCGTACACAAATGTTACACATACGCATACCGGATGAATGTTAATTGAAGCACCCGATCACTTAAATGGCAATTTTCATAATCTATTAGATGTGTTAATAAATTCTTTGGGGTGAAATTGGTTGCTTTCTAAAACGTATTTGCCGCATTCAATTTCCCCCAAATTTCAGATATAGATAACTTGGATATTGATGATGGTACGGCACGAGAGTTTAACTTGCTTACAAACTACTGTTCAGTGTACGTCAAAGGGCGAAAGGATATGCTGACATAGCAAGCATATTTTACGGCTTTGCAGTCTATACTGCTTCAAGTTTGAAAAAGTATGCCGCTGAAGGTATGAAAATGATTGAGTGAACTTTGGGATGAAATTGCGGTAAATGATAGAATAGTTAGGAAGTTGTTTGCGAGATTCCGTGCAAAACATTTTCATCATGAATACCATGAAAATTCGGATAACTTCGTCCATTTTTTTGGGACAATCAGCGCAGATAGTCATCTTAATTCATCTTGGGCTGGGTATTACCCCCAAACAGGGGCCCTTCCGGACTAGCAGTCTTTCAGATCGATGCAGTCGTACAAACAAGCCAAACAATGGTTCTGCAAAGTTGAAGGTATGTGAAAATGGGTCGATGACTATTTATATCAGACTTTCATATCACGAAGTCGCTGCAGTGCAGTTATTCGCAAATTGCTCTATCAATGGAAAGCCATAGATAATAATATTGAAAGTGTACAAAGTATAGCTTAATAAGAGGTGAAGTTTGTCAAAAAAAAAAAAACGTAAGAATTTATTAACACACCTAACAGTTAAGTTTGTTTCCTTATATAAACAAAACCTATTACTCTTAATGCTTGTAATGCTTATAATAATGCTCTAACTCTTACACACATACATTTCATTCTTCATTGAGTGACAGACATTCTTATGTAATAAGGCAAAATCTGATAAAAATTTGAGGTGCAATCAATTCACAATAGCGCAAAAGATTCCATTATATGTGAATATTGTTAAAACATAAAAACAAATTGAGAAAAGATTTCGTTTTGTCTATAGCTCCATTTACTGCTGACATTAAATACGAAAGTGTTCATCATGACTATGACTAAGTAATCGATATGAGATTCTGAACTGGTCTGATCTTGTAATAACTATTTCGAAATTGAAAATTTCTTCTCATATTTTCTGAATTTAGCTCTGCAATTTTCGAACAGCAGACACAAAAGCAAAAGATGAAGGGCTAGATAAGAACGTCGTACAACTATAAATTATAAGGAAAAAGGATAATAATGGGAGAAACGGGATGTTGCAAAGCATATACAGGCAAACCTGGGACCGCAGAAAAAAAACCGCACAAAAAAGAAATATTCAAAAACTTCATAAATAGCTATAAGAAATAATTTTTCACAGCATATTAAAGAAAATTTTTTTTATGCGATAGAGAGGGATCGCATAAAAGAAGTCTCACTTAGAAAATATGTGAAAGCTTTACGAAATAGCAAGAAAGTGCTTTCCAAACAAAATAAATAATTAAATTACACATTGAAACATTTAAAAAAATTTTAATTTCTAATTTTAAACACAAACAGGTTTGACTGTAGTTACAAGTCAAGTTAAGTCATTAATTGAATAACTATTAAAAAGTTGGGTTAAGCTAAACAACAAAACATAAATGGATATAATATATGATTGAGTATCGAACAGAATGAATAGAATAATAAGTTTAGTAAATCGAAAGAGGAGACCATAACGAAAAGTAAATGAATTCATTGAACTATGAGTTGCATAAATGAAAGTCTCTTTTATAGATAAATCTGTTTAAATTTTAAGGAGTAGTTACGATGCTAGCGACGAACGGGATAGCATATCATAAATATCCGCGAATCGTATAACAGTCAAGCATGTAAATATGTATGTATATACATACAGCTGTCGCACAGATGTAATGTGTGTGATATAAAGCGTACAAAAAGTTGACATATATATGGAAATTTGTTGTGCCATCAACAAGTATCAAACAAGTATCAATAAGTCATAAATTAAAAAGGTGTTTGCATATAGTGCTGCTCTGTTGTGTTGAATGTATCGTAATTTATAGAAATTGGTTTTCGTTTGCAACATATCACGAGTAGAGAGATAAACGGTGTAAAAGTCCTTTGGCAGAAGGACGCTGCTGTCTTTTTGTTACGACCAAAAAAGGAAAGATCAACTGCGAGTTGTTAGAGGTTGGCGAAATATGCATTAAACCGATGCATTAAAACATCAACTCAAAAACAATCGATCATTTTGAATCGTTCGCTAATCAAAAAACAAAAAAAGAAAAGAAGAAAAGGGGCCCGCACTTCAAGAAAAGGAAAAAGAAGTCTATCAGATACGGCGAAAATGTTTCGAGGCACGTTGGAAGCTCTTAATTAAAAAATGCTAACACATGCATCTTATTTACCAAATTAGGATTTGTTTTGTTGGTCAGTTTTCCCGGGAAGAATTTCCGTTGATATGTGAAAAATGTGTAAAAATGATTCAAACCACGAGTGGAAGACTTTTATTGGTGCGGTAAGTGATATCAATAATAATTAAGAGAAAATGTGTAGTCAGCAATGCCGTTTACTTTAATTATATAAACCATATGTTTTATTCTTTTATTCTCCTTCTGAATTTAATCAGTGTTTTTAATGAAAAATATGTCCGAAAATTTATGCATACATATAATGATGGCGAATGTAAAGAATATATGGTATTGCGGTTAAGCTTGCATTATTTATTATATTTTTAGTATTAGTTAACTGGCGTTTATATGTATTTATCTAGCTTTGTATTTCATCCTTTCTGTTTTTTTTTATTTTTTTTTTATTTTTATTATTCCTTTTGTCTTTCCAGTACTACTTTTTATAATTATATGCATACAAATGAAGAGACAACATGCTTTGGCTACTGTGTAAATAAATAAATAAATCATTGTATATATATATATATATATATATATATATATATATATATAGATAGATATATTATATATATTAAATGGTGATGATATATACAAATTAATTAACATCTATAAACATGGAGAAGCGACGGCGACGCACACAATAAATAAAAATAAATAAAAAAAAAAACCAATTAAAAAAATCCATATATATACATAAAAAGATAAATTCAAACGTATATTTTTACAAAACAAACAAACAAACAACAACAACAACAAAAAAAAAAGGAAAAGTATTTTCAACGCATGAACAGGCATATAAACGCTTAATAAATAAATGTAAAGCATTAAAAATAAAATTGATTAAAACACTGCCAATAGAGAGCGAAAGAGAGAGAGAGAGAGAGAGAGAGAGAGAGAAAGAGAAAGAGAAAGAACATTATTAAATAATTGCTAAAATTTCATTTATTAGAAATGCAAAAAATAAAAATATTATAATCAATTTATGTAACAGCGGAAAAAAGAATTGAATTCAAACAAAACAAAAAAAAAAAAAAATATTTCAAAGAGGACTAAGTATTAAGAGCACGGACAATATTTTTATGTGAAATCTAAAAAAAAAAAAACAGAAGGCAAAGGAAAGCAGAAAAAAAAAAACGCACATAATAATAATAATAAATTATTATGAAAACATTTTTAATTAAATACATTAAACTACAATAAAAAAAATGACAACAGAAATAATGTACAAATGTATGGGCAATCACGGTGAAAAAAAATTACTTATATGTGTAAATAAAGTTCAAATTACAAATAAAACAAAGCCTCTAAAGCATTTCAATGCATACGCATAGTAATATGCAGCTTAAATGAGTGTGACGTGTGAGCGTATGAGTAACATTTAATTCAATAATGTGTAATTAAAAATCATACAATAATTGCGAAAAAAATAAATAGAAAAGCAAAACAACAGTAACAACAACAACAACAACAACAACAACAAACTTCATTGTATTTATTGAGAATAATATAAAAAAAATAAATAAATAAATGGTTACTGCGTGTAAGTAAACACTATACAATATAAAAAGAGCAACAATAACAATCACATAATAGCTCTCAGATTAATCTTATTATAATTAATTCAATGTAAACAAACAAACAAACAAACAAATAAACAAAGACACGCATACGAAACAATTTATTGACATTAATAACGACTATACACGTTAATTGTAAATAATTTCAAAAAAGATTAAAAACAAAAAAAAAAACAAAAAAAAAAACAAAAGGAAAAAAATTAAAACGAAATCAAAAAAAAAGCACGAAAAGAATTTTTAAACTAAGAAACTTGTGCAGGTCAGAGAGTATGTCCGACATGTACTACCGCAAGCATAGCAAAGCGTTTTCTTAATATTAGACGTGTCAGTGGACCCCTAATGAAACTTTATGCGCAATTTGTTGTTGAGTGCAAACCCATCATTAGTTTATAGAAGTTTTCTTCTATACGTGTAGGTTGCATTTTGCATATATATATATATGTGGGCGAATATAATTAAACCCAATTTTAAAACGGATCTAAATCAGGTAACTGGACGTAGACATATATTCATGAATATTGAAACTTTTGAAGAACGATTAATCGAAACATTGACAGACCGATTTATATATATATATATATATATATATATAAATTAGAATGCCAGAAGTCTATGAAGATAACACTGATGAGTATATCCCTATCCATATATATATATATATCGATATATGTACATATATATGTACTTTTGTATGAAACGAGTAAAGAATATTAATATACCGGCGTATTACGATAGTGGTAAATGAAAATTGAACATAAAATAAATAAACAAATTATAAAGAAACATTGTAAACGAGTAAAAAAAAATTACAAATCTGCACACTAGATAAACTAGTAATGCCGAGATTTAACGTACACACACTTTTCTCTCTCTCTCACTCTCTCTCTCTCTTTGATTTTGTTACATTCACTTTTCATCACTCGATTGCGTAGCGCTTGTTGAAAACGTATAATTGCTTAAACGGAAGCCATATTGGTTTTAATTAACATTATTATTATTATTATTATTATTATTATTATCAAGTAAGCAAGTGTAGGGTAATAGGGAGAGAGTATGAGCGAAAAATATGTACGTTATATAAAAGCATTTGTGTTTGCGTGTGCACGCGTTTATTCAATATTTAATTTATTCGCATACATCGCGAACAGAATTTGCAAACTCTTTCCCCCTAAAAAGAATTTGTTGTTGTTGTTGTTGATGTGTTCGGTTCGGAAAAAGCCATACATTTATAACCGTCAACAATAATCGTAATTAAAATCTAATGAATTCTTATATTAAATAAATTTTTACAGAAAATCTCATTTACAAATATTTCATTACGTGTGTCGTTCCCGGTTATGATATACGAAACCATTAAACAAATATGTCAAATTAATTAAACAACAACAAAAAAAAAAAAAAAAGAATATTTTTTTTCAATGATCAATATTTAATAAACTGAAAATTGTATGAAGACAAATTAACCAATCGTATTAATTAACATCTTACCGAAATAGAAATCTATATTAAATAAAAGAATTATTTTTTAAGTAAAAAATAAAGAAAAAAAATTAGAGAAAAACTATTTAATAATCGCAAAAAGTAAGACGTGTTTCCGTTAGTGATTGTCTCCAAGTAAGTAATTAATAAACAAAAAGCTTAATTATATTAAAAATTTAAAGCAAATCAAATTTTTGTTATTAGCTTGGCACTTACATATATATATGTATATATATATATATATATAGAGAGAGAGAGAGAGAGCAAGATTTGATTGTTCTGATTTGCTTTGAGTCTCTTTTTATGCGAAACAATTGAAATGTATTTTGTTATCAGTAACGATAATGCGGAAATGCCTGCCAATTATCGAATTAAGAAATCCTCACTCCTCGAGACATTATCTTAATAAATTCCAATTCGGCCTCAGATATTCTTCGACAGGATCCTATGTTTTTTCATCGAGATGAAAAGTTATACATTTAAGAACAAAAACAATTTCATGTAAAAATGATCATCTTTCAATCTTTCAAGTCATTCGCCATTCGATACTAACGTGAACGTTAAGACAAACAAGAGTTTCTCGTGATTGTTGATTGTTCGTTTTCTATGACTGCGCGAAATTCCAATCGAAATTCTTAATCTATCACGATAAAAATACATATATATATGTATATATTAAAAATTTGAAATAAAACTAACCCAGAAGCAATTCAATAGTGAGCTAAATAATAGAAAATATTTAAGAAAGGTGTGATGACTCTTTTATTTGATTACTTGAACTAAAATGATTCAAGTACCGGCCAAACGATCGTCAAGATTTTGCTAAATGCTTCTATTTTTTTTTTCGAGTTTTGTCTCTCTCATTAACACAACAATGCACAACTAGTGTAGTCAGCCTAATGAGACCGCATCAGGCGAAAGCTTCCTTTTGATGTGAAAGCTTAAAGTAGAACGTGCCTTAAGTAAAAAGGAAGGAAACTAATATCTAAAATCAGTTAGTCAATCGATACTGAGCTTTTCAATAACTCTTCGGTCGATTATAAAGTCGTTAGAATAATCTTTGAATTCCTTTATGTAAATAAAGAGATTTTAGTTTTTTTAATTTTTACAATTTGCGAGGATCAAATGTGCAGACATAGATAAATCAGCGAACATAGTATCTCGCAATGATACAGCTATGTATTATATATGCAGCCATGAACATGTGAATAGAACGCTTTCCACCATCCGGATATAAGCAAATATCCATTAAGAGATTCTTTTAAAGAAATAATTTTTTATTTTTTATTTTTTAATCATTCTTTTAGTAAAATAATAATGACTTTTGCACTTTCAAGCACTAATCTAATAATAATATTGATTGCTTTTTTGATTTAAAGCAAAACTAATTTTCCGAATTTGAAAGTGTGAGCTATTCATGGATCTCTGAATGTATAATTTATTGTTACATTAAGTAAAAAGATCTGCTTCTTATAATAAGAAACTGAAATATATCAAAACATTTCACATTTTCATCCTCTAGAGAAAGCGATACCTTCAACGATGTTCCTGGATGCGGCTAAAGTTGCGATTCTAGTTTTAATCAAACAACAGCCAGGTAAAGATTCTATGAAAAAGTAAAACAAAATATCTTATTTCACTTTTCGAAAGAATCATTATCGATACAAGCGACAAATTAATTAGAAACGTGTAAACATTCGGACGAACACTGTCGATACTCTTAAAAAAAAAAAAAAAAAAAAAAAAAAAAATGTTAATAAAGAAAATCATGAGCAGCAATACATTTCTTCATATTTTCTAAACACTTTCCCTTTTAAAGAAAGAAATCAAAAAAATTAATTGTTAACAGAAATTAAAAAAAGAATTCTCTACTTAAGAGAGACAAGAAACCTAGAGATAGATCTGTGTAAACAGATTTTATCGTGCTAAGCACTTTAAATACACAGCAGTATCTACAATGCCATGCATATGTAAGCATTTGCAAATCTTATTTATCCCCTATGATGAATGAAAACAAAGTAAAAAAATGTAATCGAATCCCATCATATACCCATCAACGTTGTCCTAAAAAGGCTTCAAAAAAAAGGAAATGAACTAAATTTTCATATTCTATAATATTGGGTGAGCGCGACCGATTTCTTCTATTTTCAGGATACAACTAAGCAAAACGATATGGTGTGTGTGTTGTAGCTTATGGGGTAATAAGCAAAAAAACGCGGAAAGCAAAAGTGTTGGCAGTCATTGACAAATGAACAGGCGGACATACGGACAGACGGATATGTTTTTGGTGCATTTCGTATGTGAAGCCCAATCAAAAATTTATATGCCCTTTACAAAAGTACAGAAAAACCGATTAAACTTTGATGCACTATAATACTGGGTAGGCGTGATCAATTTTTCCCCATATGTATACAGGTACCACAGCACATGCCATAGAATATTCGTTTGAAATCTTTGTGTTTGATTTATTGGTTGCAGTTTGTGAGCAATGAGCAAAATCTTAATGCGTTTTCAGTTTATATGGTACTATAGGCATATCCTTCGAACGATTTGACCCCGTTTTCAATACCAACTTGCGTGCAAGAACTTCCACTGCTGCTGTTGCCAACTTTCAAGTTGATAGGGTAATTTTTGCAGACATTACGCAGACGGATAGAGGAACAAAGGAACAGAGGGTCAAAGGAACAGAGGGTCAAAGGAACAGAGGGCCAAAAGGACAGAGGGACAAACGGACAAAGGGATATATTTAAATCAATTCAGAGTTTCATGCTAATCAAGAATACATTTACTTTGTGTGTTGTCTGTGAAGTCCCCTTCTGCGCGTTGCAAACGTTTTGACACCATGAATGCAAGCCTCCTCAACCTTGGGCGATGGATATAAAAATATTAATGTGAATATAGAGAATATTTAGAGTGCTCGTAAACGAAGGCTCCAATTAAATTATTAATGACACATATTGTATGTCTTCGCAGTTATTAAACATGAGCGGCACTCACTAAAACGCATGAAAATTTTATAAAATTGAATGTTGTTTGAAGTTTTCGTTTCCCTTTTCTTTATGTTTTTTCTGTTTTTTTTTTTTTTTTTTTTTGTTATTGAAATGGAACTACAGTATACTTTAATATAATACAATAGAACCAAAAATGATTGCCAAAAACATATGTTTTTAGGGCAAACACAAAACAGCAAAAAGGACATAAAATGTAAAAAGGATTAATAGCAACGATAACAATAGCAACAACGCCAATGTACAAGTACAATACACACATATCCATATATATATATATATATATATATATATATGTTTATATAATTTTCATTGTTGTTGTTGTTGTTATTATTTATACATTTGTTTGTAAAATATTTAGGTCAATGAGGATTATTTGTGCACACACAAAATATTAAAAAAATTTTTTTTTTTTTTTTTTTGGTTTTGTCATTTTGTTGTTGTTATTATTATTGTTACTATTGCTGTTATTGCTGTTGTTTTCATTTTGAGTTTTTGTCATCCGAGAAATTGTTGCACATGTGTGCCTCCATTGAAATGAAAATTGAACAAACAGTCATGTTTACATGTCGGTCGGTTGGGTTTCATATGCGGTTATTAATTTTAATACATTTCATTTACAACGAACGAAATTCTTTATTTTAATAATGCGAAAGCAAAAATGCTTTAAAAAAAAAATTACTTCCACATTAAACTATGTCCTGTTTTATGAAATAATAATAAAAATAAAAAATAAAAAAAATAAAAAAATAAATAAGAGAAACAGAAAGCAAAAAAGTGAAAATGAGTTATTGTTGTGCTACGAAATTGTCATCATCATCGTTATCATCACTCTCGTCATCGCTATCATATTTATGAACATATGACCATATGTGTACGTTGTAACACATCACACGCATATATCATATGCAGGCACACACACACACATAGCCACAACATCGTGATGATTATGTACGTTACGTTATTACGTGTAGGGGACCACATTTCCTAGTCAGACAGACAGATGTTTTATATTTTAAGCAACATCTTGACCTCATGTTTTATTTCTATTCATAATTTTTTTTTTTTTTTTTTTTATTATTTATTTATTTTTTTATTTTTTAATTTTTTTTTTTTTTGCTATCTTTTATAAAGCATGTTACGTTTAGGTTTTCATTATTTATACGTGTCTATGCGTATGTGTGCTCACTGCTCCACATTTAATTTGTTACGCGCCATAGTTGTGCTGGTTTTCTTTTTTTTTTTATTTTTATTTTTTTTTATATCATTTGTGTTATTTATGCGTACATTTATATTGTTTTACATACACTCACTCACCACTTATGCATATAGGTTCAGTTAACCGTTGCACACACAATACACGTTTTTATTGTTGCGCTTGTTATAGGATTTCATTATTTAGCATTTTACCACTTTTCATATAATGATTGTCATCCATTATGATTATTGTTATTGTGCACGTTCCCGTTCCCGTTCCCGTTCGCGTTCCCGTTACCGCTGACGCTGCCGATGCCGATGCCGATGCCGTTGCGGTTGTCTGCAATCGCCTTATGCAAAGCTGTTTGCAACAAGGCCAGCAATAGCCGGCAGCGTATAGCGATAAATGGAGCAGACTTTGGAAAATTTTCTTGTTGCAAAAATCACTACAAATTTTACTGTCCATCACAAACAGATGCAACAGTCTCGAATTGATTCAAAGACGCCAGCCCAGTTTCATATATTTCTTTTAATGTTAATAGTTAAGCATGAAAGCGTACCGTTGGCATTGGACATTATGACGGCTTAGCAAATCTGCCGTCTAAGTCTTATATCCAAATGCAAATATGGGCGATTTTTAACAGAGCTTGCCATCATACATAAATGACTTAACAAAGCGATAATGCCAACCTGCTGAAAACAAACGTTGTTCGCATCCGTTGCATGAATTGCAGGCAAACAAAAGTATCGACCGCCTACTTAAAACCTCCAATCAAACTCTCCCTTGTTGCGATTGAATTGGATTGATCCACTATTTGAATGAATTTATTTCGACATTACTTGTTGAATTTGTGTAGTTGTGCGTTGACAGTTTAAAATTTAAAATTAGGTTATCTTGTTGCAAGATCTTCTATTATATGCATAAGCTGGTGCGTTATCGACAAAAGACAATCGTGCCACACTCCGATGTTAATCATCGAAACTTTACATGATGTCGCATCTGCAACAAGATTTGTATCTGCAATCTTGTCATTTCTATTATATATTCAACGCTATCTGTCCGAACGATATTGAAATTTGAAAGGCTACAAAGGCAAAGTTAGGATTTTACATGAGACTTTTCAAGAGCTTGGCAATAAAGTGCTTAGTGCTTTCAATTAATTCGATTCCTTTTTCATGGCGGGACGGATCATAGTAACAAATCCATAGGAATTGTCGCATTATATCTTTCAAGGGTTTCCGAAGAGACATCACACTGCTCGAATTTACTACATCGATCTCTGTAAAGCTTTTAATAGGCTTTAATAATGACCTACTTGTCTACAAACTCACTTTATATTTATATATATATATATATACATCTTTCGAAATATTGTGGTTAATCTTCTACGTCAGTGTAATTGGTGTAGGGTAGCAATGTATTCTTTACTCTATTCAGAAATTATTTGTCATTTAGAGCCTGCACTACTGACGGTATAAAACTGTATTAGAAATCATCTCAGAAGCCTTCATAACTGCGAGCAGAGTAAATCTCATAAGCGTCAATCCAAGTAAAGGCATTATTCAATATTCTATAGATATTGAGTACAAATCATATAGATAGGCAGGCCATTGAAAACGTCCCGTAATTTATAAATTTAGGGATTATTTTCAATTCTAACGGAGTTGTGCTCAAAACACGGCCCCACAATAGGGAAAAAAGTCGATTGGTTCGACCAACACTAGAGGATATGTCAATTGAATGGCCTCCTGGATTAGACAGAAATTCTAATTGTTTTCTACCTCTGATCAAGATTTTTTCACACTTTATAAAAGAAAAGTACTTTGTGGCGTCGTTTTTATTGAGATATGAGAAAACCCCATCAGCTTTATCATGCAGCGAAATTGATCTACAGTTAGTCTCTGGACACATTATATACTTTTTCAATTAATCGTAACAGATTCGTGTTACTCCATCGTGTTATACGTCACCGCAATAACTAAACAAAGGTTTAAAGTGAGGCAAAGCAAAGGCTCAGACAGCGCAAACAACATTGCTAACTAACATTGCTATTCAAATTATTTCGCAAGTAAACCAAGAAAAAACAAAAAAAAAAAAATCGCATTCGAAATGGAAGGTTCAAGCACTTAAGATTTTTGTATAACAAAATAAGAAAATTATATTAGGTCATGATCGAGTCTTTTACATCCATTGCCGTGGCCCTCAGAAAAAAGGAAAAGAACTAAATTTCCATACTTTGTAAGATTGGTTGGGCATGGCTGATTGGTTTTATTTTCAAAATAAAATTAAAAATTTACATAGTGTCTGTGGAGCAAAACACGGATCAGCTCCAGCAGCGCAGTCGCTAAATGCAGCCCATTGGGCCATGTACAACGCGACCGCCAAATGCAG